GGTGGATGTGGTGGAACCCCGCTCAGGGACATGGTGGGAGCCCTGAGCCTGCCGCTGCCAGGCTTTGTTCTCGGAGCAGCGCGGCTGCCGCCCCTCCCCAGGCTCCACCTCCGCAGCCCACCCGAGACCCTCCTTCCGCTGCCTGTGCACAAGCTCCTCGCATGGTGCGCAGAGCTGGTGGGCAAAAGCTGCTCTCGGCAAAGCGCGGAGGCACCTTGGGTGGTAAGAGGCGTCATCAGTAGGGACCAGAGGCAACAGGGCGCCAACCAGAAGGGGCTGAGCCCTCAGTGGGCGCAGGCCTTGTGTGACACAAGGCAGACGCTTGGCTCCCGCAGCTCTGCCCTGGCCCTCTTCCAAGGCCGGGTACCCCAGGGGCTGAGCTGGCACAACCTGTTCTCAGGCTGCGCTCCCCCAGCGGGCTCCGTCCCGCACGACTGCCTCCCCCTGCCCCTTCCCTGCCATCCGCTCACGGGTGTCTGACCCGGCTGAGCCAGAGCTGGCTCGGTGGCTGCTCACGTGGGGCCACGGTCACCTCACCTTCCCCTGCACTTCCCCTGACCTTGGCTGAGCAGCTGGGACTCACGCTTGGGCACTTACCACATCCCTGCTCATTCTGGCCCTGCCAGGCAGGCGCCGGCTGTTTCTGTCCTTTTTCACAGCCTTCTCCTGCTGCTCCTCGGTGTGACCAACCCACTGCCCGCATATGCCCCAGTCCAGCCCCAGCCTCCCGCCATTGCTCCCACTTTCCCCTCCCCATCTTTGATGTGGTTTTGCGCTCCTGCAGCTGGCACCGGGGAGATGTGGCACCACAGCCACAGGCCACCTCTGGGTGATGCCGGGAGGCATTCGGCTCCCCACAGCCAGCTCCTGCCCCCGGCAGAACCTTCCAGTAGATTAGCAAGATAATTTTCCTTACAATTGCTCATCGCTGTAAGAGCTGCAATTATTAATGACCGTTCCAGCTGCCAGAGCAGGAGGAGTGGCTCTTCCCCACACCCACTGCCCCTGAGCCCGTTCCAGCCGGAGGTGCCGGCGCAGCCTCGCACCCATCCTTTGGGACAGCAGCTGCATCACATGAGCAAACACTTGGCTGCTCTACACTGTAGCGCGCCCAGAGCCGGTGCACGTGGCCCACGCATGCCCCATGACTTCTCGTCCCCTGCACAGGACTTGTGGCCACGGCACAGCAGGGACCAGGGGACATTGCTGGGGAAGTGGGGACTCCCCTGCAGGGCTGGACATCTGCACCATTTCCCCTTGCTGCAGCTTTGCCCCCCCCCATATTAATTACTGGCCCTGCCTGCTACAAAGAGAGAGGGATGACCCAGGTGACACGAGAGGTCCAGCCCAGGCTGACACAGGCAGAGGAGGAGAAATCCGAGGCGGAGATTTCCCCAGAGAGCTGGAGGGAGCTGAGTCAGGTCCCGGGGGGAGCAGGGCAAGGGCTAAGCATGACCTTCCCAGCTAGCCACACCTCGCTCGGCAAAACCGCAGGCCTCAAGACAACCGGCACTTGCAGAGAAGTGTTTATTAAAGGCACTAAAAGCACCGTGGCTACATCAGCGGCAGCCCGACTGGAGAGTGTGGGTTTGGGAGAGGCATTTACAGGCCTGGGACGGCAGTGGCAGGCGCTCTTTGGTAGGAAGCCGTTCCCGAGCCTTGCGGGAGCTCGCGGGCCATCAGCACACATTGCCAGCCCGCCGCTGGGGCAGACTTGGCACGCTGCCCTGCTTCCCGGCACGGCCAGGCTGGGGGTGCTGCCGCACTCCAGCCCCAGGAGCTCAGCAGGCCAGCTGGGTGGGGGGACATGAGGTACAGACTCCCCCCCGGCACACAGCCAGGGTAGGAAGCCACTGCAGCCGTTTGCAGGGTGGCCGGGGACTTGCTGGAGGGGAGCAGGGCTGGGGTCTCCAGCCCCATGCACTAAGCACGCAGCGGGGAAGGTGGGGAAAGAGCTTGGCAGGGAGGCTGGGGGGCTGGTCCTCACCCATTCAGGGATGTGCCC